AAAGGAAGAAAAAGAAGTGTGAATGATAGGCTGGATCTCTTTTATATCTCTATCTAATCAGTGTTATGAGTGATATATATATATATATATATAAATAAATGATTATCACTATATCGAGTAGCAATTTGTTTTGGTGAATGAATTGAAAGTAGCAAGAATCGCTACATGACGTTCCTAATATTGATTTGACGACCTGGATACACATCGCTTAAGCATTTAAGAGATTTTTTCCGTTGTACGTGAATGGAGCATCAGCGTATCTGTTTTTCATTAACATTTTCATCTTGAGATAGAACTTTAGGCCAATTTATTCAAAGGTGTTGTCAGTCAAAATCGACTAGCAATTTTTTAACATGCTCGATGCTTGATGTGATGAATACGACATCATAGGTAAAGCAAAAATAAACTTAGCGGCCGTTGATTTTCACTCCGGTATTTTCCCACTCTAATGTTTAAATAATATTCTTATGAGTGGGTGTGAATAGCTTTCGCTAAATAGTATTGCCTTGCCTAGTATCTCCCTCCACTTTGATGACGACATTATTATAGAACGGTTAATTTTTGCAGTGAGATGCCTGTGATTCAAAGGGAATCTAGGTATTTGGAGTCGGTAAAGTTTGAATTGTCAACGCTCCTATCGTTGCCTTTGTCTCGACAAAATCGAGAACTTTTTCAAGACCGATGATGGTTGGACAATATTTTCTTATATTCTTGTAGTATTTCTACGAGTCTTGTGATTGTGTAAATATTGTCCACCGTGCTAAACTTTTTTCGGATTTCTACGTGCTTATACAGTTGCTCTTCGTCTAATATTCTTCCTGTTACTAATGACTCGTGTGAATTGCTTGTAGGCGAGCGACAGACAACGGGCCGATTGGACAAAAATCAGCAACCTCGTGAGCGTCTCTCTTTTCCTCGGAATCGAGTCAAAGAATTGTTTCGATGGCAGCTTGCTGTGGATTTTTTTGATGTTTTAATTTAATCTTGTTCGACACGAGAGCTTTACGATTATTCACCGACAAAATGGTATACCGGATTTCAAAAGAAAGAATCTTCAGAATGACAAAATCGTTTCCAAGAGCGGCTAGCTATTAACTTTGACATCCAATAAATGAATAGATAGTTTGTTCTTTCTTTCTTCTATTCTTTGAGGTGGAGATTACTTGCAACAAACTATGATTGGCTGCAATCATATAATATCAAGATCCCAAACATTTGTCGAAAACCTTAAAGCTTCACGTGGAGCCTGAGCCATTATATGTCGGATTTCCATGTGACACGATTCCTAGAACAGCAAAAAGGAAAGTGGGAGCGGCAACTAGAAAAACCGGAAAATGCCATTTTTGAATCGCACATAAAGGCTTCGAGCTGCGGGAATCTGTTGCTACACAATGGTTCCAAATCATTGGAAACAAATGTCTGGTGAGAGAATTGTCGATTGGTCCCATGCTTTCTTAGACATTTTCCCGCAGCGTTCAGGCAATAATACAATGTTGCCGAGTTGTTTAAAAAATTGACTCTTTCACAAGATAAAGGATGTAAGTTGTTGGGTGAATTTATGTTATTGATCATTTTACTACAAATCTTAATAGATGTTCATTTAAGTTTAGTAATACAGAGGTTTTTATCCTGTACAGTGCTTAAGGAAGACCACTTTACAATTCATATAGTAACTATCTTACTTACGAGGAATCTTTTAGTCCACATTCTGATTAAACTTATATGCTGCAATGTGAAAGAGTTACAAATTGATTTTTCATTCAGTGAATATTTTAGTGCGTATTAAAGATAGAACTAGAATCTGGATTCACTATCGTGTTTTAGCAAATGCCTGAGGCAAAGATTTCTCGAGTGCGTTTCGCATTGAATACACTACACGAGGAAGAATCAGTGAAGTTAATAGACGATCGATTTATATATTGACTAGTTACATGAATTTTTTGATAATTGTTTTCGGAACAAAATTTGCCACTTTTATTTTGTGCTCACAAATAAACACATATTTTGCTGGTAATCGTGAAAACGATTGTATTCGCAATCCTTATTACAGACCAACAGCACGTGTGTGTAAATGTGCTGCGTAGGACTATTGCAAACGACACGTATTTACAGGAAAATTTCTATGTACAAATAACTATGGCGACTCCATCAAAACACTATAAAATTCAGCACTACGTTAGGACGTATCATAGTCCATTCAATCAATTTATGAAGGAATTTCAATAAAATGATATAGAGTCTTTCACATTAATACCGGATTTCGTATATAAATTCATTCACATTCATCGGGCACAATAAAAATGTATGAGAAGGTAGACGTCTATAAATTCCTACGGCCACAACACTAAATGAAGTAATACAACAAAAAAATATGGTATATCATAATATTTCCATGTTTGCAACATGAAAATTTTATGGAACGATTTTCTAATATGAATAGTAATAAAAGTATTTGATAAGCCGTTTTCGTACTACACTCTTATTGATGAACCTTTAAATACCTTACAAAGGTAAACCACCACAATTTCTTCCTTCTAATATTCGTGATGCGTACAGATAGGTTAAGTTTATAGTTTAAGTTTAGTTTTTATAGTTTAAGCAGATAGGTTAAACATTGATTTCCACAAAGGTGGTCGCCACAAGCTACATGTATTATTTATACCATATATGGCAAGGCAGACACCTCTTAAGCGAAATAATATTAAACAAATAGAAAACCACACGATCTAATTGCGCAGAAAGGGTGAACGGATTGTGCGAAACATTTTAATTTGCTTGTTGAGTGTAGTTCACAAGCTTTTCAAGAAGGTTATCCTGCTGAACGAAATATAAATATCGGATTAGCCTTGAACTATAGAAAAAAAGGATTTTGCAAGGCATCTCTTTGTATAGACTACATCGATACCGTAGCAATAGCTAAACAGGTTAGCCTGGAGTACGCCATTACTTTTAATTCAAGTCGACAGAGTAGAACCGCCCTATATGAGAATACTCGAAAATTTTAATCAACATTGCATAGGAAATATGGAAAATACTTAACCTATGTTTACCATCCCATTGCTTAAGAAATTTACTAGAAACATAAGGCTGCGCATAAATGTTGTGTGTCATTTTGCATAAAATAATAATTTCGTTTGATTGGGGAAAGTGTTAGGTTAGATTTGGAAGTATTTAAAGATGCAAAATTGCACCTATTTTTTGAGGAAGACGAAATGTCATTCGGAGCGTGCAAAGAAGAAGCAAAAACAATATTTTACGAAAAAATCAATAAATTAATAAGTAATAATAGTTAAATAACAAAAAATGATAAAAAATAAAATGGATAAATTGTAATTTGGGGAAAGACAAAAATGGTAATAAACGAGAAGAAAACTTGCCCAATGAAAAACGTCTGGTGCAATGAAAGGGGGTTCAAAGTCTACAGTGGGTGAATAAGAGCAACCATACTTAATATATTACGCATATATGGAGCGAACTATATGAAAAGCGATATGAGAGCTGAAATAGCTACATGAAGAAGAAGCGCAAGGGCTATGTTAACACATATAGAAGAGGCTTATTCAGTTCAATAAGCAAATCCGATCAATTACCAACCTCCTAAAATATGTCTTCACTTCTCTGAATTTGAACTTTTCCCAAAAATTTGATCCCATCCACGACTTGCTTACATGCTTCATTCTTCAATAACATCAAGGATTTCACGAGCCACTCATTGGACGATTGAAAAATGTATCACTAAAGGCGACCGACAAGCGCAACAACGAGTTGAACGTCGCCTTACATACCGCGAAATATTTCATCTGCAAGGTCTGCCGAAATACGCATTAAAAGCTAAACAACTAGTAAATGGACATAGAAACGGTAGATCGGCGACAACGAATGCAAAATAAGAAAGAAACTAAAAGACATATATAGCAATATGAATCATTTAAACGTAATTTTCATATCCACAGAGAAGAAAATATATCGATGCCGTCTGCGAAGCTGCAGAATTGGCAAGAAGGAAAAGAAGAAAAGTGGGGCAGAAAAGGAGACAAAACTTCACGCATACCTTTTTGACACGATAATTGTTACTGCCGTGTATTTAAGAAACATGGAAATTAACAAAGCAGGATAAATTTTCACCGTGGGAAGAACAAAACTTTGTCAAAATTGTTATGTGTGTTAGACAGATGTGATAATCACTACACCACGAGATTATTGGATATACATGCTCATCTCTTACCATGTCTATATGCTTATTGCCTCATCGTTAAATTATTCACCAAATGACCAATTACCTGATTGAAAATTATTGTTGTACAGATCGTTAAGTGACGTTTCGATATGCACAAAATGTTTGATCTCGGGCGGGCTCGAACCGTCGACCTTCTGTCATTCGATACATTACATTAAAAAACCATTACACCACGAGATCATTCGATATACATGGTCATCTCTTGCCATGTCTATATACTTATTGCCTCATCGTTAAATTATTCACAGAAATGACCAATTACCTCATTGAAAATTATTGTTGTATAGATCGTTAAATGATTTTTCGATATGCACAAAAGATTTGATCTCGGGCG